CCACAAGCACCACCTGGAACAGAGAAAGAACAAAAAAGGGGGGCTAAGAGAAATGCAATTAAGAATCATCAAATGCTATGGTTTATGAACTAATTTGAGTCGATTTTTCAACATTTTCAGCTGTGAATCGAAGAATTGCAAATGGGATTTGCTACAAAAACGATATGAGAAATGGGTTTATCTGGGATGAAAGCAACAAGCAAGAAAGGACACGAAACAAAGTCTCATTGTAGAGATTAGAAGAAAAAAAAGGCATACCCATAGTCCCAGAGGCATCATTGTCACCGTAGAAAGTGGCATGGGCGCTCTGCCACGACCCACCATTATAAACCCCTGGGATTCTCGCATTCACTAGCACGGAAAGCAAGAGCAAAGGAGCAAAGCAGAGCATAACCACAGAAGGCGCCATTGTTTGTATTCGGGAGAGGGAGAGAGACTGAGAGAGAGAACCCAGCTCGCGCCTGGGTTCGTTGCCAACCCAGTCTCGCGAGCTTGGTTCATGGATTAAGATATCAGCGGTGAACAATAAGGCGTCGTTATTAAACATATAACCTAATTTGGAATCCAAAACAGAAGAGGAAGGGGTGAAATCGCACCAGCCATGGGATTTCTTTTTAGTGGAAAACCGGTGCTAGGAATCCCGATGAATGGACTTGGAATCATCGGCGAGGTTAACGATGGCCAAACGGTAGCTCGCAAAACAGTCCCATTTGGACGAAGAAGTGTCGCGAGGGTCCATGGTTATATATGGAATTGGAGTCTCGCGAGCTGGGTTCATCTGGGTTCGCGAAGAAGATGAGGATAGAAATGGGAAATGAAAAGATAAAGGGAAACAATGATTTTTTTTTTTAATTATTTTAAGACCTATTGATTACATGGAAAAAAAATTTGATTGCCAACTCATCAATTTTGCCACGTGTAATCTTATGTCACCATTAAAAAGAAAAAAAAAAAAGACATTTAACGGATAATTGTGCCATACTGTCACTTAACTGACAGAAGGACTAAAAAGGGGCCGGATTTCAAACAGTAAGGGTCAAAAAGGGGATTTTTTGGGTATAGGGACTAAAAAAGGGCTTTTTCCTATAGTAGAGGGACCAAAAAGGGTATTTAACCAAATAATTACTTAAAATATGTAAAAGTTTAATTATATTATATTTACTTAATAAATTTCAATTTTAGTCTCCAGAACCATATAAGTTGGAACCTCCTCCTAAACTCGTCTTTGGGGGTCAAATGGGTTTCGGTGTTGCAGTTGGGTGGAATCAACAGCCTCCGTGCAACGAGAACTACAGCAATCCACTGTAAAAAAAATATAACAAATGCAAAATAAATCATTAATACAATGTAATTTAAATGCAATAAATAAATTACTATTAATATCATAATAAAAATTAAAATAGTTTTAATTTCTATAGATAAGCAAATAATAATGAAATTATATTTTAATTGAATAACATACAGTATAACTAATAATAGTCAAAGTAGTACGCGCCTTAAAAATTCAACAATATCTTAATATTATATAATAAGCACTAGAATCATAAATATCAATTTTGGTCCATCAACTTTATCATTTTACACAATTTGCATCCCTCAACTTTTTTTTGCTCATATTGGTCCTTCAACTATGAATAATGTACATTTTTAGTCCTTCTGTCAATTAAGTTTTTTTGGCACATTGATAAAATGACTAAAAATGTAAACTACTCATAATTGACGGACCAAAATGAGCAAAAAAAAGTTAAGGGACAAAAATTACGTAAAATCTTAGAATTAAGGAATCAAAATTAGCATTTATCCTTTTAAAATTATATATGCTAAAATAATATATATAATTACATTTTTAACCAACTAAAAAT